TCGACACTGGGATTTGAACTCTGGACCTGCCACTTGGGGGTTGACAACCTGACCACTTCACTAGGTCGCCACACCCCAATATTTAAACTCTTATTTATAAGCTATAAATATATTTTATAAGGTAATAAATCTATATTTTCTTTAATGAAATCTTTAATATCTTGTGTTACTGTTATATTTTTTGGTTGACCATATAGAAAATTATTTTGAAAATATATCTTCACTATATTAATTTGTTGATTAATAACTATTCTAATAATGCTGCTGCAGCTAAAACGTTCTATTACTAATATATTTGACTGTTTTAATATATCTTGATGTTTCTTAGACTTATTTGCTAAATTATCTTATTGAAAGCAATAATACTAATATGTTATAGTATGTTTTTCTACGTAAGATTGATGATACATCTATTTGAATTTATTGACATTTTCATAACTACTATTAGTTCATTGGTTACCTCTCTTGTAGATTTATTTAGAGTTACGATATCTAAATTACATTCAAAATGAAATGGTGGCATGTTTTCTAAATTAGCTTCAGATTGTAATTTATACAAATCGATAATTTGGATAATAAAATCTTTAATATTATTTAAATCAATTACTTTTTCCAAAGTATTTTCATCTATAGTATCTTCTTCTGGATCATCTTTAAGCTGCCTTTTTTTATTATTTCTTTTTAGCTGTGTGGTTCTACTGCAGCAGTGGGCACAAGTTTGATATTACTTTATAGTATTGTTTCTACAGAGCTAATAAATTCACTAATAGATTGTGTATAATCGCACTCTGAGCAATGTAATGTTAATACAAGAGTTGAGCTTGAAGCTTCTATTATCGATTTACCTTTATCATTATTGCTTTTAGACAAGAGAGGTTTATTCATTTTAATTTGAAAAAGGAAATTCTAATAATAATTATTAATAATTTAATTATTGAATATATATATATTAGTATACGTATTTGATATACATAATTTATAAGCCACTATAAATTAATATCATGTGAATGTAAAATTGTCAGGGTGTCTCTGAAAAAGATTACAGAGGTTGTCATTTCACAATCCAAAACTTTGTGTAATCTACAGATAGCTTAGTCAAAAAGAGGCATTTAGATTTGGTTGATAGTTTGGGTCTGTAATAGCTAAGGATTTCTTTTTTACTTGTACTGTTGTTTTCTTTTTTTTGAGCTGTCTACTATAGAGTTTGGAACCAGTTTTATTTTTTTTATATTAAATTTGATTAAAACCAGTTTTAATATAAGAAAAATAAAGCTGGTTCCAAACACTAGTTTACTAACTTTAATCTTCAATTACCTTACTACTTTAGGTAATTGGACAACATGTATAACCTCAACTATCACATTTCTTCAGATAGTTGAACTTGAGTGACCATGGCTAATCCTGGTACTTTAGGATATAATAGCAGGATGGAGTGTAACAATACTATAGGATAGAATAGATAATTTCAAGAAGTGGGTCTTTATAGTCTGGAGACTTAGTGTCAAGTTCTAATTAGTTGCACATAAGGTATAGTAACCAAATTTATATAAATAAGATCTACGTTATAATTAAAAATAAGGTTATACTAAAATGTATATTGATGCATAACTGAACTGTAATTAGAGAATCAATTATAGTTAATTAATAAAAACGATGATGTAATCTCACCTAATAAATTAAATAAATAAGGGGTTCGATCTTGTAAATCAAACCTTTACTTCTGTTTGTGCTTGAATAAAATTACCTAAGGCAATGACTTTATCATGATGGCATCTAGAGAAAGAAGGTTAAAGAAGTGATAGAGTGGAGTCTGTGAAGAGAATACAAGTACTAACATAAACATACCACAAGTGTATAAATATTTATGCATAACCATTTAGGCCAGAGTTTAGTATTTAAACAATATTAATTAATCCCTATGACACTTAGTGATTAGTTAATGTAACAAAAAAGATGTTTATGTATTTATTATAATGTAAGGGGCTAGTTATTATGATGTAAGAGGCTAGTTATTATTTTAATAAAACAAAGTTCATAACTCCTCTTTTCTCTAGAGCCTTCTGGCCTTTATTTATAAGAGCAATTTACTATATATATTTTTATATTTTATACTTTATTGTCTAAGACTATATGTACTATTATATTTATAACTATATTAGTGTTCTCTCTCTTACTGACTTTTTTACTTACTCTGCTCCTTTGATCAGAAAGGACTTTTTCTATGTTTCAGTCCTTTCTGATAATTCTAATCAGATCACCCTTATTTAATTAGTCATGTCACATGACACATGACTTAGTCAGATACATAACACAATATATGTAATTTATAATTATTTTTTTTAAAAACCTGGGATGCTGTAAGTGTACTTTATTAAGTTAAGACAAGTCATCTAAAATATATTGTATAAGATTACTCTTATTTTAACTCAAGATTTTAAGTTATTAGTAGATAGTGCAAAAGAGCTATTCTGAACTTTGTGCCTTTTCTTATTTTATCTTATATGTTTTTATTTCCTTCTTAATTTTATTTGTGATGACAAAATAAAGTACTAAAGCTGAAATTAAGTTTCTTTTTTACTTATTTTGGGTATAATAGCACCATATTTCATAAACTGTGCTAATATATAGCCACATAACTGTTCTTCATAAGTTTTTGTTATTGATGTTAGACAATAAAAAGATCTTCTTAATTGTACTAGTGATGAATTTGTAGGTGAGCTGCCAGAATTCTTTGCTTTTTTTGCAGTGTACTCTGAAGTGTTCTATTGTTTGACACTTGCCTGGATAATCTGAACATTTTCCTGTATCATTTAGGTTGATATGTTGAAGATAATATCTCAGAGGCAATGCATGGTAATAGAAATGCCAGAAAACATTAATTTTTTGTTGGCTATTCATTTAAAATTGATCCAATTTCTTAATAAGCTACTTGGACTTGAAGTGGTATTGTTTTGATTAGATGTAGGATGTGTATATATTTCTCTTAAAAAGTTTGTATCCTTCTTGACTATATAATTGATGTTAGCATTGCCAGCTAACTTTATGTTATTCTGATTCTATAGTCATAGATGGATAATCTTTAGACTTCCTTTTACTCTTTTTTATGCTATTAAATATGCTTTTCACTTTTCAGACTAAGCTTTGGCACTTATTAGGGTTGTATTAATGATATTAATAATTGTAATGTTATACTTTTTCTATAGACTTTTCTCGATTTTCTTCTGCTTAGCTTTGGGCTATAGGTTAAAGCTTGTTAATGACTTGAGCTATACTGAAAGTAGTTTAGCATTCAAAATGTTTTTTAGTATTAGTGCATTGAGTTTTCCATATTCAATACATCTTTGAAAGATTGAGTATTAGAGTAAAACTTGAAAGTTGTATTTAATCCATTTTATAATAAACCTGTCAATATTATTTAGTTGTTTTCTGCTAGAAAGAAACAGATAAGCTGCATACCAGATTTTTGAAATAAATAGTAACTTGACAACTAGTATTCTTTTCTTTAATGATAGATTATATTGAAAAAACTCTTTTATTATGTTTTTTATTTTGGTTGTTAAACTTGGTTAGAACTTTTTATTAATGTTTCCTTTTATGTCTATGTTATATTCTAACATCTTAATTAATTTGCCTTTCTGTAGAACTTTAAATGAACTAATTATTTCAGAAACATAGTGATATGCATTATTAGTAATAGAAACTAACACTGATTTCTCTCTGTTAATTTTAGCATTTAATGCTATTTTATATTTTTGTAAACAGGAAAGTAACATATTCTATTCTGTATATATAGCAATGCCTACAGTGAGATCATCTGTATAGGTAGCTACTCTGAAGTGCTAAGATTGGACTGAGATACCTTGTAAACTAGAATTCAGAAGTCTGAGCAAAGCTATAATGTAAAGGAGTAAAAAAAGAAGATCTCCTTGTTTTACACCTTTTTTAATACTAAATGATTCTGATAACATACCTATATCTGCTATATAGCTTGTTGTTTTTTATAGAAAGTATTAACAATTTTATAAAGTCTTTACTAAAATTTATCTTTTTCAGTACCTTTCATAGATAAGTATGATTTATTTTGTCAAATGCTTTCTCTGATTTATGACAACATCCAGTACTGTTGTAAATGATTGTGTTGTTTTTGCAATATAGTAATAATATCCATAGCTGTATTAATAATTAAGCATCCTTTTACAAAGCCCTGTTAAAGATCTTTTATGATAGTTTGACATGTCTTGTTTAATTTATTTGCAATAATCTTCATTAAGATCTTGACATTACAGTTAACTAATGAGATAGGATGTCAATTATTATATTGTTTAGAGTAGTTGCATTCTTTGAAATTAGCATTATAATATTCTTTCTTTATGAGTTTGAAACTATGCCAAAAAGTAATATTTTATTAAATAGTTTCTCTAATACTGAACTGATGTTCTTTTTTAGCTCCTTGTAGAATTCATAAGAAAAACAATCAGGTGTTGGAACTTTATTATTAAGAAAAGATTTGATAGTTTGACTAATTTCTTTTATAGAGATTGTTCTAATTAATAGATCATTCTCTTCTAATGAAACCTTATCTAAGTTATATGTTATTTCTTCTATAAAATTATTGTCTATATGCTATTTTTTGTAGAATATTTCATAGTAATTTTTAATATAGTTTAATATTTTCTTAGGATTTGTATTATTTAGATTATTAGGAATTTTAATTTTTTCTGTGTTTATATTAGAATACTTGATCTTATAATAAGTAAAAAAATATTTAGTAGATTTTTTGTTATTCTCAATCAACTTAATATTAGATCTGAGTTACTACAATTTAGAAAGATTAATTAGCTTATTTTGTAATTTATGGTTTAACTGTTCTAAAATTATTTGCAACTCTTTTTTGTTTGGGTCCTCTGCTAGCTGTCTCTTTAACAAAGACATATTTTGTTCAGTTTGTTAATTGCTTCTTATAAAGAATAAGATAATGGGTAAGCTCTAATAATAGATTAAATTTATATTTACTAAAGTTCTAGTCTTTTACTGTGCTTACATGTTTAAGTTTAGCTCTAATTCAGAGCAAAAGTTATTTATTGACTAAACAATGTTTGTTAAATTTCTATAAGGCTGGCTAGTAGTATATTTTTGTGAACTGAAACTCACTTATTAGTGTTAATCTATAGTTTTTACTTTAATCACAATAATAACATAAGTTGCTCAACTATAGTATAATGACTATAACTTGACAAATTCTATACAAAGTCTATACAAGACTTAACTAAATATAATGATTTGGGATTTTAAGGCAGAGTCAGCAATAAATAATATATAAGAATACTAAATATTGCATTCAGTTTATTAACTATAAATTATATAAAAACACTTAACTTTCTTAAAGGGCAAGAAAGCAATACTTTTATAGATATTTATATATATAAATAATTATAATCAAGGCTACTTTATTGCTAACAAATGCTATTTATAGTAATATTAATATATAATAACTAATTGACAGATCACTTTCAAAAAAATTATCAATTCCAAAAAGCCAAATAATTCAATACTTAATTAGCTTCCAATTTAAGAACATTTATTGCATTTTCTATCCTAATATATCAAACTTCACTTTTAGTCAAAACAACATACAAAGCTGAATCAATCAAATATAAACTAATTTATTTATCACTAATATTAACTACACAGAAATTCTTCCTATTGGTATAACAAAACTGATCATCAAATCATAACTCTTAAAATTTTTATTATAATCAATAAACCCAAATCTTATAAACAACATAAACATAAAGCCTTTTTCTAATAAAACTATACTAAAGAAAACCTTGAAAACAACAATGAATAAACTACCAAAAATCTTCAACATTTATCTTCAATAATCTTTACAATCTCTAACCAAAACCAACTCAATACTACATGGAATAAAATTCACAAAGCATTAATCAAAGCCTTTACTAAAGATATTCCTTTTAAAAAAATCAAAACAATTAAAAAAATTCA